GAAAGTACATAACACTCAATGGCGGATCTGAATGTGAAATCGTCGGTAATCATTGCGATGGAGGCGGGCAGGTGGTTCCATTCGTTACTAGTCCTTGGGATAAATGAATCGAAAAACAAGTTAGTGCTACAATGTGGCACGCCTACTTTGTTATGGTGGTCCGAACGAGATGAGACGTATGATGGCTCTGAAAAAAGTTCAGCTTTGAGGTGCGGGTTATAATAATATATTTTATGAAATAGCGTGAGTCGCGATATTTTTCTGTGCAGAGAGAGGTTCGGAAGGTTCAAGGTTGCCTTCATAGAGGATACACTAGATGAACGGGAGTAGTTCGACAAGACAAAACGCGCGCTGCGATTCTGTATCGATTCTAAGTTATTAGTAAGAAATTCCAGGCCTGGGTCCCACACAAAAGATGCGTACTCCAGTTTAGAGCGGACGAGAGTTTTGTAGAGGAGAAGCTTTAAAGATGATGGTGCCATAGAAAAGTTACGACGCAAATATCCAAGCATGCGGTTAGCGTTATTTACTATATATGTTTAACATGCATTTGCCAAGACAGATTAGCTGTTATGTGAACCCCTAGGTATTTGTATGACGTTACTTGTTCAAGTGCACTGCCTGAAAGTTGATAATCGTAAATGTTTCCAGAAACGGTCTGACGCGCAATCCTCATTACTTTACACTTGCTAGTATTTAGACGCATTTTCCAGATATCACACCAATTAGAGATTTTGTTAAGGTCAGACTGAAGCACATAGGAATCGGAACTAGTAGAAATGACTCGAAAAATGACGCAGTCGTCAGCAAACAACTTGATGGATGAGTTGATAGAGTTAGGAAGGTCATTAATGTAGATGAGAAAGTGAAGAGGGCCAAGCACAGACCCTTGCGGCACACCTGAAGTGACGGGACTTCTTCCGCAGTACACGGGGTGTTTGTATTTGAAATAATTACCAGGCATGTTTAAAAAAAAAAACGTGAAAGACATAGCCTTTACTACAGACCGCATTAGTGTATATATACTAATGCGGTCTCAGGAGCCCAATGATACGGCCAGGGAGACATAATAAAGGCGGCTAATCGTCACGAGAAGTCGGAAAATCAAATAGGTTTATGAATTTTCTTTTTAGTTTGTGAATCTAAATGTATGGACCCGATGCAAAACTTCCCGAGGGTAAATATAAATCATAAAAGCGGCAAATTTTTCAAATATTTGAATCCCGTGGAAAGCATGATAGGGTGTTTAGCACTCGTCCAACAAGGGCGAAGCGACGGCGGTACGAACACGCGGAGGATAAGAAACGTAACCGCGAGGGCGCCGTTTTCGCACCTCCCAACCTTGAGCATATTAATTTCTTCCGTCTTAATTCTGCGGACATTCTATGCTTGATCGCGCAATCGATGTCCGCAGTGACACCAGGCAATTTGTGCGCCTACCCTTCGGGTGAGTAGAATTAGTGCTTCAGAGACGCGTTTTGCATATTATTACGGTTCTCTATACGTTTGATAACGGCAGCTTTATGCTGCCTTTACAGGTAACACAATGTGGCCGTCAAGAGCTATACTTCACGTTTAGGACTTAGAGGAATGGAATGGAACGGTTCAGCCATTCCAGGATTGGTAATCGGCCCAGTGTTTCCATTCCGAGGACTTGAAAAGAATGGAATTGTCGGTAACTCTAATTCCGCGGAAGAGAGTCGGAATGAAATAGGGGTGCTCACACATGAATTTTTAGATCAAGCGCAGCCTTAAAGGAGGATAAGAGTCTTATAACACAAAATTACAAAATTGCATATTAAGAAAAAAATAGCATTCTGATTGATTGACGGATTGATTGAGTGAAGGATTCATAGATTGATTGATTACATTGTTACTTTGACACAGATGCCAAGGAAGTGGGGCAAAAAGTGATTTAAATCACCTGACGAGGTCCCAACCACCAATACAACACACAGGCAGCAAGCCTTCACATTTAACATAAAAGAACGTACGCACAGCTCAAATTGCTTACTGTAGTATATTACAGCTTAACAAGTAATTCTTAACATAATTGTTTTTAAAGAAGCACGCAAGATATTTTATGGGCCAGTTGATAAATGCTAATATGTTTATTGAGAGCATCCGGGATATAATGTGACAGTAATAATCGCTGGCAAAGGGGAACAAGGGGAACAAAGGACCAAAACAAATCTCCAAAAGGAGCTGGGTGACTGGTGCGCGACCGAAAAAATCCGCCTGGTCCTGGTATCAAACCAGGGACCTCTCTATTTCCAGTGATGGAGCACTCTACCAACTGAGCTAATCAGGAGTTAAACGTCAGTAGAGCAAACGGGTTTTATCAGCTGCTACCAGTCTAACACCAAAAATGATGAATGGCCTGCATTTTAATCTTATTATTACAATGCAAATAATGCGAAGGTGAAAGCGAGCTGGACAAGTCATTCTTCTCCAGCTCGCTTGCACCTCTGAATTAATTGAATTATATTCATAAGTTGAAAGTGCAGGCCGTTCACCCTTGTTGGTGTTAGACTGGTGGCAGCTGATAAAACCCGTTCGCTCTACTGACGTCTAACTCCTGGCTAGTTCAGTTGGTAGAGCGCTCCACTAGAAGTGGAGAAGGTCCTGGTTCTATATCAGAACCAGGCGGATATTTTTCGGTCGAGCACCTGTCACCTAGCTGTGTTTGGAGGTTTGTTTTGGTCCTTTGTCTCCCTTATTTCCCTTCTCCTGGAATTATTATTGTCATTCTTGCCCAGCTCGTTTCCACCTCTGCATTATATGCATTATAAATATAATAGGATCCTTTTTGATTACTGTAATTTCTTCTAACTTTGGACTTTAGGAATGAATTGCTGGTGTCTCAGGTTGTCATTTGTTTGTTTCGGTTGATATGTGTAATAAAAACTAATGCAACCGGTGTTAAATTGAGAATGTATCGAAATCGCGACCTTTAAGCAGAAAACGTCTTTCAATGTTAATATTTTATGTTCAATAAAATAGGGGCGGTTGATTCCGAAAAAGGCAGATTATCGATTAACGAACTGCTCGTTTTTGTAATGTAAGCAAATGCGTGGAGCTGGTTTTTGTAGTCGAGCCCCATACCAACAAACAAAATTGTAGCTTCGAGCGAATCAGCCATGTATCGTGTTGTTTTAAACACCCTGGAAGAAGATATCGTAAATTTAAAATTAAGCCAATTAATCGAGAAATCGCTCTCCTAAGATTGTTCACATGAGCTATCCAGCTTAAATTTCCGTGGAAACAACCACCAAGGAATTTAAATGATTCCACGCGTTGAACATCAAAAATTGGAGAGACATGTTATTCGGTACTCTATTGAGTGTATTTTTTGCTGTAAAAATTCAACTTCATTTTTTACTATTTAACTGTAACTGACTAGAGAGTATAACCACAAGTGCAGTTGATCCAGCCTAATATTCGCCTCTCTTTTTAGACTATCTCAGTATTTACTAGTGAAGAATGCGGTCGTATCATTCGCGTATAAAATTATATCACGCGTATCATCCATTATCCTCCAAGGACGGGAGGGAGTAAAAAGGGTTCCATTCGTGGGATGTTTGAAGGATTTCGGGGGAGAATACAAGAAAAACAACTGCTTCTTAAGCCTCGCCTGTTTTATAGGGTTGCCAAAAAACAATAACCTCCCCCCCCCCCCCCCGACCCAGTCCCGCTTCCGGGCAAGGAGGAGGTCGGCTGTGTTCGGCTACTGCGAAAATACGGCCTCCTCCAGGCTCGGGGGGAGTTCCATATCTTCAACTTTCAGTCCGCTCTACGCAGTGTCAGCTAAAGGGTGAGCAGAGTTTCAGCGGTTGTCCTTTTCTGCATCGGACCAATGGAAACGCAGCATGGTTCACATATTTGTTCAGGTTGCGTTCACAGCAAGCGAAACGAGAAAAATAACCGGGACACCGGGACATCAGTGGCTCATGCTTGCTTCCAGAAGCTACTTTTCGGATTGGTTGCCACGTCTTGTGTGGAGAACAGTTTTCGATGTTACTTGGTCTTTCCTGTCGTTTCGGTTGATTTGAACGCAAGCAACGTAAATGTGAGAACCAGCCTTCACAATACCTTGGCCCATTTTCGCTTGAGGCGGGTTTTATTTTTTGGAATATTTTCGGTGTTCACGTATTTTCTGGGAAAAAAGGTCACTAAAACATAAAAAAAATTAAATATTAAAGTGCGGTTTGGTGTTAGTTGTTTTTCACTAGATATCAGGGGCACAGAATAGCCGCTGCCCGAAAATTGCGGACTTTGTTTTCTGTCTGGTAATGGACACGAAATGCTGTCTCTAACGTCAAAAAAATTAATAATGGCTACACATTAGGAACTCCACTTCGCGAGAATATTTTGCGTAAATATATTATTTTTGGATTGGTGCAAAATCACTCTGTAGAATAAATAATATATTTAGCATAGTGTGCTAATGAAGTGTCAAATTCAGATATCGAGGTTACATTTCCGACTCTAAAGTGATACACGAATTCATCCAATTGAGCCGAAGTAAGGTGCGTTAATCACCGCTACTCAAGGGCTGTGTTACATTTAAAAAGTAAATCGCAACGTTTTCGAACGTATTAAATTTAACTGAGACTCGCGTAAGCCCGAAAGAAAAGGAGGCATTAAATTTAACCAAGGTCCTTCAACGTGTAAATTTTCCTTTCCATAACTTAAGATTTCCAACTGGCGATAGGCGGTCGTCGATAATTTGCTGGAGGCTAGCAAGGGAAAAGGTCTCTTTTTCTTCTTCGAGGACTTCTCCGACGGTCCTCCGAACGGACGCCCCTTGAGTGAGCTTAAGAAGGAAGTCGGCCAGAAATCGCCGCCTTACGCACGCGGGCCGCGAAATCCGAGCCGTGTGTACCCGCGGGGGAGTAGATAACGTGTCTTCGCCGCCGACTTTCCGAGTGTTGTTTTATTGCTGGACCTTCCTCGGAGCTAGACCATGGATTGGCAAGTCTTCTGACGGGGTCGGACATATGAGATCCGCGGTCCGGAAACCTCGTTCTTGATTTGAGCGAGTTCTCGGCGGCATGCGGGAAAGTAGACGGACGTTCTCGCGCTGCGGCTCTCCAGGGCGGCGTGTCGGGGCCACGGCTCTGGCGGCGGCGCTGGCGCTCCTGGTGTGGCGCTTGCCCGGGCCGGCCCGGGCCCTGCCGGGCAAGTGGCCCATCCAGCGGATGACCAACTTCAGCGGCGACATCCTGCTGGGGGCGCTGTTCCCGGTGCACGAGCGCAACGCCACCTACGAGTGCGGCCGCATCCAGGACGAGGGCGTGCAGCAGCTGGAGGCCCTCCTGTACACGCTGCAGAAGATCAACAACGACAGCGCGCTGCTGCCGGGCGTCACGCTGGGCGTGCTGGCGCTCGACTCGTGCGACTCGACGGCCTACGCCCTCGAGCAGTCGCTGGACTTCGTCAAGGGCTTCATCGCGCGCAGCAGCATGGGCTTCTCGTGCGCCGACGGGTCGTCGCCCGCGTACCGGAGCGGCGCCTTCGACCGCGTCGTCGGCGTCATCGGCGGCCAGTCGAGCGCCGTGTCCATCCAGCTGGCCAACCTGCTGCGCTTGTTCCGCGTGCCCCAGGTGAGCTACCAGTCCACGAGCCCGACGCTGAGCAACAAGGACAAGTTCGGCTACTTCTTCCGCACCGTGCCGTCGGACGTGAACCAGGCGCACGCCATCCTGGAGCTGCTGCGCGCCTTCCGCTGGACCTACGTGTCCGTCGTCTACTCGGACACGGACTACGGCAACAAGGGCTACGACAAGCTGCAGGAGCTGGCGGCACGCTACCGCATCTGCCTGTCCAACCCGCAGAGCATTCCCGGAGACCACTTCGCCGAGGCCGACTACGACGCCGTGCTGCGGAGCCTGACCCACAAGAGCAACGCCCGCGTCGTGGTCGTCTTCACGGACAAGCGCACGGCCAGGAGTCTCATGCGGGCCGCCTGGAGGAGGCGCGACCGCTTCGTCTGGATCGGATCGGACGCCTGGAGCGGGCTCGAGAGCGTCGCCCAGGGACACGAGGTAAGAACCACCACCATCCCTATCCACCTACGAAACTTTGACGTCACGTCGCAGCCGTGGCGCTCTGGTAGGTACGGCGCATGCGCAGAGGGCGAGCAGCGACGCGTGGGCAGCGTGTCCGCAAGATACGTTTAAAGAGCTGAATCGGCTGGGGACGTCCGTCGTAAGATGAGACGGAGTATGGTGGAGGGTGCGATCGAGTGCGTGAGCTTCGACTCCACTGCGAGATTACTGCGCTTCGGCTCCTCGTGTCGAGGCGGCGGTCTGTGTTCCCATTTACTAGAACGATGTCTTTACTGATGCCGGCAAAACAGCAGACGTGGTTGTACCTTCCTCAAAAAACTGGTTAAAAGTATCCCTACAAGGCGCAACGAGGCCGACAATGAAGGTGCGGAGAGGAGGGGCCTACCCTCCTCTTCGTACCCTCCCCTCCTCTTCCTCGAGAGCTGCGCTCTAATTCGACGTTAAAGGGAGCTGTGAACGTCTTTCATTTTTTTACATATATATAGAAATAGCAATTTTTTCTAGATATCGTTTTTAAAGATGCTCAGATTGGTAACCGTTTCAATGTAATCAAGTTGGGGAACACATATAAATATGGCAAAATTGGGTATTAATCGTGGGTTCTCTCGATTACCGATAAGGTGTGTTATAATGCCACCACTCCTCCGTGTTCCTTTGCAGCTCCCATCTTTGATTATTATATGTTTCGTGATAGTTATAAATATATATTAGGTACAAAATCTGCAAGCTGGCCCTTATTTTGGTTCCTCAAGTTTATTCCATTACTTCATCAAGGCTCTCTCAAATCTCACATGTCAAAACCCGGTAAAATATAATTGCTAATATTTTTAAAGGTCAAACTAATAGGCCTTAATTTTCTCCTCTAATCAACAAAAAGTAATTAAAAAAAACTAGCAGTGCAGTGACAAGAGTTCGAAGGTACCAAGCATTCGGACTGGGTCTGCTCTGCTCGAATAGCCGACCTCATATTTGATAAAGCACGCTTACACGTTGTGCGAAATGAAGCTTTTTTATACATATTTGCGCCCTTGACAAATACGCCGAAAGAAAAAATAGCAGCGACCTTTAATACATTAAGTGCTGGATGGTTATCTTGGAGGTGTGGCTAGGAGGAGGCTATGATATGGGGAGAGAAAAGGAAGGGGAAAGGAGGAGAGGGGATGGGGTGAGGATTGGTGTCTCACGTGACGCATATTTTCCGGCTAAATTTAGCGAGGAAACTGAAGGGTTGTAGAGGTCCCGTGACGCCGATTTTTTCCGCTAAATTTAGCGGGGAACCTAGATCGGTGTCTAGGTCACAGGACGTCAGTTTTTCTACTAAATGCAGGGGGTAACCGAATTGCTGCGTAGGTTACATGACGTCAACTGGCCCCTAAATTTAGCGAGGAAACTGAATTTATGTTTTGTCCACAACACCTGAATTTTTCCGCTCAATTTAGCCGGGAAGCTTAGTTCATATATAGGTCTCGTGCAGTCACTTTCCCCAAGGTGTATAGGTCACGTGACGTTGCGTGACGCTACTTTCCCCGCTAAGTTTGGCGGAAAATGTACGGACGAAGTTTTGGGTTGGGGGTAGCGTTAAAAAGCATTTCATGCTTTAAAATATTTAAAGAAGGTTTACAACTGCGCGAGTCCGAGGGTCGGCGAGACCGTAAACAGTAAATCTGCTAAACTGCCTAATGCTTCTTGACCTCACAAATATTATTAGCACGCTGCAACTAACCAGGTGATGTATACGCTTAAAGAAACACTCACGGAAAGCCTCTTCTTCAGCCATTCTCACATGTGGCAGAGTTTGCTTTCAAAGCACCTTGAATGTTTAAAAACCAACCCCACCGTATTGTGTAACAAAAAAATAATTACCCCAAATTGAAGCAATTACTGATTTTATGCTCAAGTGAAACCAGGTTGCCTTATACTGTTGTCAATTTACTTAGATCCACACACAAATATTAAGATTACAACATTCCACGTTTTCAGTAAAGGACTTTAGCTGAGGTAATCCCGCGCTCCGTGTGCCTTCGCGTAGCTCCTTCGACAAGGCACAGCGGAAGCACTCCCTCGGTCAGCCCCGGAAAATGACTAAGCCCTGAATGTCTTGACTCAACTGTGAGATTCGTTCTGGGTCATTTGGTGGACTACTTCCACACCCAGTTCCCCATAATGCATCGTCTTTATGGGTCTAGGTTGTTTCCTAGATTTCACTTTTTTTTAGATCACGCCGGTGGCATCTTTTGCGCTTTAGCGGTTTCGGTTAGAATAGTAAACGAGCGTGTGTTTGTGTAAAGTTCGAGGCATACTACAATTCTGATGTAAAAACAAATAAATCAAACCAAGTTTAGGAAAGCCATAGTTTGTAAACATTAGGTAAATTGCCGTGTGACGCCCATGAGAATAAAAGAAAACTTGCGAGCTCTACAAAGCTCGTGCTTCAATTTCTCAATAAATTAAGTGGAAGTAAATCACTGCACTGAATCAATAAAGTCCAATAAAGGACAAAGGTCCAAAAATTATTTTAGCCACAAATATGAAATGCGCTGAGACGCAGCCATATAAAACTTGGCTTCGAGTAGCTCATTGCAGCTACAAGCTCTGTGCGAAGAATTTGTCCGTTATTAGCGACTCCAGCGACCTATACGGGGCGCCACCACCAAACAAACATGGCGGCTGGGTCCAGGTCGCGTCGGCTCGGCCGGGCCGCCTGAACGGGTGGCGCATTCAGTTTAACATATTTTCTTTTGTTTAATGCCCAATTTTATAGGCATTTGAACTGAGACGGTTAAATGTAGCCGGTGCGCATAAGCTTGCCGAGCATAGTTTTGTTTTGCCGGTGTTTTTTTGTTCTTTTCATCTCAAACTTTCGTTCCGGAGACTTCGCTCAAAACCGAAACTATGGGCTCCGGAGAAACGGTAATATACTCTAATTGATTTTGATCATCTAAGGAAAGCGGCGATGGCTACAGAATTGTTCCACCGAGAGTAATTTTTAGCTAACTCGCATGCCTCCACCATGCGACTTATCTGTCCGAGAAATTGAGCTTTTGTGCGTATCCGCGTTTAAGAAACAGCTCCAGTCGTCTGCTCGGTCAACAACACAGGCTGCAGGAAAATTACGAAAATTAAGCAAGCGCTTCTCGAGCTAAAAAGCATGTTAACCCGCTGGCGCTTCACTAAGCAGCTGATACTCGTATTTCTATTCAGGATTTAGTAGCAATCGAGAAGTCATTTTGACGAGCCCGTTATGTATTATATTACGTACTATGTTCCACTAAAGCGATATTAGTATATTCTTCGGGCTGAAATATGAACTTAGTTGACTAGCTATCGGGTGACCTGCTGAATAAAAGTATATTTGACAGACAGAGAGATACTATGCTTAAACTTAGCCAAATGGTTCCAGCCGGTAGCACGGAGACGTATGCGGACCAACTGAGGAGAGTCTTTATCGGAGATTCACTCAGAACCTCTCTGCATTGAACTTGACTTCGAATCCTGAATGGATAAAATGAGTATTTTTTGTGGCCGGTCAACCTGAGCAATGTAGACGTATATTGCTGCTCGCGTGCGCACTCCGTGCGTATCGGATGGCGATTGCATCCTTCGTTGAGTTTCCCGCCACCAAAAAAAAAAAAAAAAACAAATTGGGTTGTGTGTGTGTTTATACAGCCTAGAACTCTTCGACGGGGGTATAATATAAATATTGGAGGCGCGATAGATCCTAATGCCGTGGGAGCTTCTAACTTTGCGAGACGCGTCCCCCACCTTTTGAAAGCAGATAATTTCCCTCATTAATCATAGGCAGTGAGCATGTTTTCCAGAATCAAGTAATTGCGAAACTAGCCCAACTCCTTCAGGGTGGTCCGGAGGCTTTTTCGGCGAAAAGCAGCCAAGATGAATAGCCAACGCACCGGCCGGCGTGGCTGGCTCAAACTTGAAGCTAATCGAGCACAACCAAACTCAAGAAAAGCAGCTATCGAACCTTCCCATTCACTTGACTGCAACATTGGTGTTCCCTCTAGTGAAACACCTTGTCTGTCGTCATCAGTTCACTGTTCTACATCCTTATAAAGAAACCCCTTATCAGTTACAAAGTAGTCGTCATTTTGAATGTGATTCGAGACAGACAAGAAATCAAAACGTTTTTCCGTGATTCCTCCCCATCCAAGAAATCGAAAGCACGCGACCGTGTGTTGTGGAGTAAACGGGCTTTCAAACACGTGATGGAAGGAAGCAATCTATCTGAGGCTTCACCACACTAATGAACACTCAGAAAAACTTAAGAAATTTTCGGACCTTCGTCAAATTACATTGGTCGCCACCGCGCCGACAACACGTGTCCGCGAAAGCCACCAGAGACGCGGAGAAGCGCGGAGCGACCTGGACCGGCTGGTTCCCGGTTTTCCCGCTTGGCGGCGTCCGTTTTGCTGGAGTCGCGAATACTTCATTACAGCGATAGCAGTTAGTGGGACTCTTCCCGGGTTTCGCGCCGACAACAGCGCTCCATACCGACGCGGGTTATTTCCGACACTCCGCCAAAGGTTTCCCATTGACGTCACGCCGCTGACGTCCCGCCGCTTGACACGACTCTGATATCACGCCGCGCATCACGTCACCTGTTGAAAGGCGTGAGCTGACACCATGACGTGACATTATCATGTCAGGTCACGTTGCACAGGAACGCAGCGCGACTTAAGCGCGAAACACATGCGCGTCAAAACTCTCCGATCCGACGTGCGAACTGCCGGAACGACCGTTGGAAAAGACAGTTTGGCCGCACCGGAAGGTCGGGCGAGGGCTCCGTCCGGTTCCGGCATGCGATGCGACCAACTTGCTAGATATTCGCCGCACCGCCGTCCGACTGTCCGAGGGCCGCGGTCAATGGCAGAACAGATGGCACGAACGTCATGCTGTCACGTGAAGATAGGCCCACGGAAAGTAGACACGCGCGACAAGAACGCTACCCCGCAAGAGCGGAAGAAAACTATAGGCGCGCAAGCGCTTGGAACGACGACAAAGAGAGGGCGCGGCGAGTTTTTGTTGACGCACATGAAAAATTCACAGAACTCTAGCCATATACAGCTTCGCTGTAAAAGTAACATCACGTAAAATCTTCAGACACATATGCACACTTTAATGGAATACGTATAACAGTGTCCTGTTTGTTCTGAAGTAAAAAAGACTACGAAGTGCGAGTTGAATATTTTAGATTTCTAGGCTAGGTGGCGCAAGCTACCGCCGGTATATATACAGTCATTAGCATTCATCCATCTATCCGGTCGAAAAACACTGAGACTGGGCGGAGCTGAACGGAACGAAGCGTGTTCCGACGCGAACGGAACGAAGCGAGTGTCTCGAACTGACGGAGCAGCTTTTTTTTCGAAATTTTGCACGTCTGGTCGGGTAGCTTTGTCGCGCATGTGTCTCCCGCTTTAATGACGTCAGGTGACACAGTGAGTCACGTGACATGCAGACGTGCTGATAATGGAAACCATAAGAACAATGCCTTTTCGCTAATTATGTCAGAAAGGTTCTCGGGCGATAAGACGAATGAAGCTAGGTAGGTGTTAAGCCGGCGAAACTTTTCGGGCGTGAAGTCAGGTGGAGCTGCACGCTTGAAACTCGAGCGCGCGATTTGAAAAGTGTTCTTCAGTAGCCACAAGGTCGTGCCAGTTTGTGTCCAATAATATTGTATAAGACGTTCGAGCAGCCACACCAACGACGGGGAACGGTTACTACATACACTTGCAGTTTCGTCGTTCCCTGGATTTCAAACTTGGACGCGCGACTTTCAAAGTGTTCCTCTACTACCACAAGGCACTTCTAGTTCGTGTCCAATAAAATTGTTGAAAAGGTTAACGAAATGCTCACTATTAATACACCCTCATTGGTTCCAAAACTCTATGGAATTTTCGTCCATTGTGTTACTAGGTTTAATACGAAAAGCCCATGCGGACTCTATGGTGCGCCCTCGCACCTTTACCGTTCATTCAGTCCATCTGCTACAAAATTACAGCTTAGCGGCTCCGACGTCATACCTGAGCTGTCGCTGTCTTTTTTATGTTTTTTTTTTATGGTCTTTGAGTGAATAAATAAGATTTCTGCTTGTTCATAAACAATGAAATGATTTATAGAGAACAAAACCTTGACTTTAGCAAATTGTTTGCTCTATTTTCTTTCTTTTTTTTTCTTTCTTTTTTTTTTTTTGTTTAGGGAGCTACGCTTTGAAATGTCACACTGTGAAGCTGCCCAACTCAGTGTACATTCGATGAAAGTTCGAGCTTTCTATGTGCAGGCACCCATTTCTCCGGCTCGTCTTACAGCGGAAGGTCCGCTTGTGCCACCCTAGATACATTATGTTCTTAAAACCAAATATATTATGCCGTATATTTAAATGACAACCGAGTTAAACTAACTCTGGAGGTTGTTTATGTCAATTAAAAATTATTATGGTCGCAACACTGCATCAGGCCCTAATCCTGGTACAATGCTTTTTTCGGAAGATAGAATGTTATCTGCGTGACATGTCTTTGGTTGAAGAAGTTAGAAAGCAAATTAGTATCCGACGCCTTTCGTAGTGAAGTAAACGGTTTTTCTGAAAGACGACAACGCGGAACTATATCAGAAGCTTTCGTCAAAGTGATTTTGATAGAGTAAGTTTTGTTTCGACAACGTATGTTTTGATGAACATTTGTTTGCAAATTCGCCCATCGTGATAGATGTATGCACTACATTGGTGACAATGCAGAATTCTTAGTAGTGATGGGTAAAGAGAACAAAATTAAACACTTCAAATCTCTATAACGCGAAATTACGGTTTCACAATCGCGTTTGTAGAAAAGAAGCCTTTTTTTATTGGTTGTCATGCATAATGAAAGTTACGATTAAAAGCCTATAACTTTTTTCTATCAGTAAACAACTGTCACGTAGTATAAAAACATAAAGCTTTATATTTTCATACTGAGGGACGCTTATCGTACTTGAACCATGAAGTAAACGAGAAGTGTTTTCGCTGCTCAAAAAAAACTTATAATATGAAGGCGAATCAAGCTACCGGATTTCAAAATACAGTGATGCCTCGTTAATATGGACAGCTTCATTTCCGCAAAAAGTCGTTCATAATGGGAGTTGTCTAGCATAAAAAGACAAAAATGCATATATTTTACCAGTTTGTCCCCGAGAAGTGTGTCCATATAACGGGGTATCCGTATTAACGTGTCCACATTAACGAAAGTTGACCGTATTTAAAATCACTAGAAATAAGAAGTGCAACTTTTATGCAGGAATAAGTTAGGGTTTTCAGGAAACGTTTGGCGGCTTACAATGCTCACCGACAGCAATAAACACCGAAGGCATTTTAATTCTGATACAATTAGCTTCAAAGCTTGTTAGAATTTCAGAATGCTTGATAAGAAAACCCTTTCTAGCGGCTGCGAATATTTCTGATCGTATTTGCCACTTTCTGTGAGCACGAAAAGTGAAACCAAATCCAGATAGGTTTGTATATAGATTTGTAGGTATCAGCAGTGGGACATGTTTCTGTTAAATGAAGAACAAGGGGGCACCATAACTTGACTGCCAAAAATAGTTGCTCTTGTCACGTTTGGTGTTTTCAATAAGAAATAACGTTCGAAGAGCAATAGTGATGTTTTAATCAAATCAGCGATAGCTGCTGCCGAAGTCTAAAGAACCCCTCCGCGCACTGTATTTCAGGAGATCGTCGAAGGTGCCATCACCGTGTCCCCCATGGTGCAGTCGCTGCAGGGGTTCGACCAGTACTTCAACCAGCTGACGCCTGACAACAATGTGCTTGACCCCTGGTTCCCGGAATACTGGGAGGAGAAGTTTCAGTGCAGGCTGCCCGAGTTTCAGGTGATCTCCGCTAAGACAAGCATACCGGCATTAAAAGGGTACCCAAGAGGACTTCGGGTTCTACGTTTTAATGACGATAATTATATCTAAACGTTCTAAGCTTCTTAACAAAAGCTCAAAATTACGAAAATGCGCGACCTTTTTTTTGTATTAACAACGCTACCGAACATCGCGATACGGCCCTTTTCTGAAATATATATGAACAAGAGACATGTCACGATACTTGGTTGCTCGTTTAATAGTGGAAAGGCCACGCATGATAGTAATTCTTTGATCCTTAGAATGCTTAGAGCGCGTGGACTAAGTTTGATCCATAAAAAGACGATTTCGAAAACTACTTTATTTCCCGCTTAAAGTCTTCTTTTTTGTAAAAAAGATTATGACATTGAAATTTTATATATGTTCCCCATGTTCAAGAAGGTAAGGTTTTAAATTGAGATTAATTTAACGCAAAAATAGCTCCGCATCTGCATATAGCCACACTACAGAAAGGGCCAGATGAGTCACACTCATCATCGGAATCACACGGAGAAACTTCTGTGCACACTTTTTCCTTTACTTCGTTCACCCCTAAGCTGAGACTGCGGTGTAAGCTGCGTCCTCGTTGATCCAGTCATGCGCCTTTCTCTCGCCACGTCATCACGCTCCCAGCCGTATTCACGCTCGGAGGGCCGGGTCAAGTTATAAGAGGGAGGCGGCTGATTGGTCCGGCGGGCACGCAGCTCTCACCGTAGTCTCAGCTTAAGGGGGAAAGGAGTATAGAACACCCATAAAGCCAATTCCTGGTATCTACAGCGTTTGCGGTTGGCACATGTCTCCGGCTGGTGCATTTAGCGCTCTGTGCCGTCGGTATACATCGAAAGGGGTCCCGAAGTAGCAAAAAAATGGCGCTTAGTTGTAGAAGTTTCGGCGAAAAAGACGAGTGAACAAAAGCGTCGCTCATCCTTGTCGGCGGTCTATTCTTTCCCAGCATCAGTTGATACAGTTTTCTACTCAATGCTAATCGCTAACCCAGTTTAGTGTAATGTCTACCTGCGCACTGTTTACTCATGATTTAACCAGATAGTTTCTCAACACACAAAAAATAACATAATCTTAGACATATTTCTTACTTTGCATCCTCAGTATACGAGATCAGACGAGATTACTGCAGTGTGGCCACTTATATTAATACATCCTACACAAGAGAATGCGTGACTCTCCTCTCGAAAACATTAGACATAAATAGAACTCTGTCTGAATTTCATATAGATTACAAGCATAACCGAGGATTACTTTCTGGGGATGAAAACTGAACCCCGATAAAAGCCAACTCTAGAAATTGTGGTTGCGTAACATTCCCACCTTTTCCATAACATAAAATCCAGACTCTCCATGGTTCACTCCATGCATGAAAACACTCCTGAATTTAAAAGAAAAATATCACAATATCTCCACGTGCTGAATGATGTTGATTGGGGCGAAGCTCTGGTGGTGCTGATGACACTGATTTTATTGTTCATAGGTAGCGCTGATGGTGCTGATTTTTTTTTATTGCTCATAGGTAGTGCTGAGTTCCGGGTTGCGTTTGGTAACCCCAGCTCTTGAGTTACTACCACATCTCAGAGGCCCCTACTCGACCCGCAGTCGTGGCCGAGTGGTTAAGGCATGGACTAGAAATCCATTGGGGTCTCCCCGCACAGGTTCGAATCCTGTCGACTGCGCAAACATTTTTTTTTCGTTTTTTAAGAAGACAGATGGGATGGCAATCGATGCGAGCACGGACGCCGGACAAGGCTAGACCCTAAGGAGCTTCGCCCCTAAAACAGCTGTTTCAGTAATCCAAGATTATTAATTCCTCCCGGCGCTGGACTAGTTGCCACACTGTTTTAAATACGTGCAAGCATAAAGGGAGAAATGCTTAGAAAAAATGTAGTCAGGGATTACCAGATGCTTCTTGATCCAACTCAAAGAAGTTCTGGCGTGTTGTTAGCCGAAGTAAATCCCCATAATATTAACACAAGCACGTACACGGGAAAAAATGTCAGCTCGGATAACGATGTGCCCGCGATAAGTCAGCTACAGTCCATCCTGCTTATTTATACAGTGGCAAATAGATTTTAAACAAATTTTTTAAAAAATGTATTGGAAACTTTAAAAGTGTTGTCGCCGCTAGTCTTGATGAAATAGATTATTTCGTATATAGCAGACCGTTGGCAGGATAAAAAAAATCCATCTCGTCTATTTAATTATTATAGTGTTCAGTCTTTTGAGTTACCCAAATAATTAAAAATAGCCAAGGTTGCCCCTGTGTGTAACGGAGGAAGAAAGAAAAGTACTAATAATTATAGGTGGATTTCAGTTCTTCCTGCATTCTCAAGGCGTTTTGACCGCATTATCAATGATAAGCAGGCGAGTTTTTGCTTTAAGAAGCATCAAATAATAACGCAGATACCATGCGATTTTTGGAAGAATAAGTCTGCGGAACAATCAGTGACATCAAGGACAAATTTGTTCTAGATATTGAAAACAAATTATTAACTCTTGTGAAAATTAACTCATGAAAATTATATGTGAAAATTATAAAGGTGATATCAGAAATGTAAGAACACTGTCACCCTTCATCATACATAATACTCTTAAGGCAGACCAGGTATGCCGTTTTGAATTTTTACAATTAATAAATAAAAATAGACTCCACCAGACCAACAGAAAGTCTTGAGTGCACACTCGATTATAAACCCAAAGCCAAAGATGACGGCCATAAGAACGAATTACTATGGACGATAAACGTCAACTTTTCTACTATAACTCGAAATAGAACGTATTTAGACATAGATTTTAATAAAACGTATCCTAGTTTTAAGCATGATTGCAGAAGGTTTCTGGTTGGCAGTTAGATCTTATTTTCATGTGAATAGTGTATTGCAATGAGAACACGATATAATAGCAAATTTCAAAGAATTGTCATTTTATTTTAATATCATCAAGATTTGTTGCCGTTCCTGTTATTCGCATGTTGGAGATATATAATATGAATGTATTCTAGCGTTTTCTTATTATTGTTTGTTATTATTCGTAACATTACTAATCGTTACAGACGTTTATTTGCCTGAAATATACACTACCAAAGAAATGTGCTGCTGTTTTCTTTTTCAAATAACAAGAACGTTGATATATACTATTATCTCATTATGTTTCCAGCAAAGCCTCGACACTCGCATTGTACCAAATGATAGGTATCATGCTCTAACTACACTTAAGGCCTGTTCGCACTCTTGCAACCGAGCACGACCGAGAGAGACCAGACCGGTTTTTAAGCCTCTCGCGATCTCTTAGGACCAGCTCCGCTGCCGCGCGTCGCGTCCTAAGAAGTCGCAAAAGGCTTAAAAACCGGTCTGGTCTCTCTCGGTTTTGCTCAGTCGCAAGAGTGTGAACGGCGCTTTAAACTTAAAACCAGGCTCTCGTAAAATCCTTCCGACCTTAGAACAATATATCTCACCATGGTGCCTTGCAAACTCGTGGTATACACGCCATATATAATCTTAATCTAGCTCATCCCGATTGATTTAAGTTTCCGTTTGATAAACTGTAGAAGAACACTCATGTGTTATCTAGCTATTCGGGGTCATTGCTATTCTTCAAATGAGCACTAAAGAAAATAACTAGACCGACGACATCTTCGTCGATTTTGACAAAACATGATGCTATTTCCCACTTTTTTTAAAGCTATCTCATCTTCGTATTAAGCCATACATTCTTGACTAAATTAAATGCATGATCAAACACCAGATTTTCAAACTAAAATACGCTAATTTTGTCTGGTGGCATGAGAATGCCTTGCTCACAAATTGAAATTTGTTCAAAATAAAGCCGTCCGTTTTATTGCTCGTCAATTCTCTATTTACTAGCGTCACGTCATTGAAAATCGAACTGAAAAAGCGGAATGGAAATCAAATGCATTATCTCGAAAACCGTCATCGGTTGGCCAGTCTATATCTCATGGCGTTGTGAACAGGCCATAAATTTCTAGGCAAACCTTCTGCAAACATCTATAATCCAGCTCCAAATTACGCACGTTATAATTTTCCTTTTCGCCCCTTCCAATGTGCATCAATGGTCGCAGCACCAGGACATACAGAAACAAAATCGGAGACAAACTCCATTCCTATAAAATAAAATGTGAAGAGCATCTTGAATTAAGCCATTTGTTATTTGTCACTGTTTTGACGTTTATTCATTGTACATCGGTTTGTTTTTCTTTTGGGTTATTGGCGGTGCTCTTGCTTAATCTTGACGCAATGCGTTGGAATGTAAAAACTTATTCTGGGTGCTGTGTATTTGTTATTTTGGCGTTTAGATGTGCAGAGACTCTCACCTTACTTCAAAGCGATTTTCCTGAGCAAGAGAGGGAGTTAGTTGCACGAATACCGTCTTCCCGAAGTGTCGTCTTGCCGATGTGTTTTTGTGTGTTTTGGAATATATGCTTTTCCTGGTTATTTTTCTCTATTGTTGGTATTCCTTTAAGTGTTCTGATGCATTTATTCTACATACTGAATACGTAAAATATAATGTTTTATAGTTTGCTTCATGCGTAGATTAGGACCTTTACCCCCTTATGTAATGTACTCCAAAGAGTGCCTTTGATGTAATAATCCTCCTATTGAAAATCAAATTTATCTGTCGAAAATCAGCATGATGTCACATGTTAATCTTCTACACAGCCTGACATTGCATTCATATTTTTTTAGCAAAAATGTTAGTTTTACCTTGCCATTTGCCCAACTTCCTTCATACCCGCAACTACGCGTTCTGCGAGTGCTCTTGTGCAATGGCGAGACACTGACATATTTTAGGGTGAGCTTGTAGAAACGTCGCGTTAAACTTTGCAACAAACTAGCAAGCCTTCCAGCCAAATGCCCAGGTATACAATTTTGGATTAAGTACTTTGTTAAAATAAAGATGAATAAACAATGGCCTCTATTAATATATATTGTATATTCTTGAAGGGTATGTGTTAT